CCACGCTGTCAGTCCAAAAGGTCACCCTTAAGGAGATCCAGGCCCTTTTGGAGCACCTCAATTTTGCTTGTAGGGTGGTTTCCCCAGGCAAAGCCTTCTGTGCATGGCTAGCCAGAGTCACAGCAGAAGTTAGGGCTCTGCACCACCACATCTGCCTCACCAAAGCCATAAAACAAGACCTCGGTTTATGGGAGGAATTCCTCAAGGATTTCAATGGGGTCTCCTTGTAGCAATGCCCTTGGAAGCTCCAGGTCCACTTGGATGCTGTGGGAAGTCTGGGCTTTGGGGTCTTTTTTCAGGGCCACTGGTGCACCTAGTGTTGGCCAGCACACTGGGACCAAGGAGGGATCCTCTGGGACCTCACATTCCTGAAATTCTTTCTAATTATGGTAGCTGTGCACACTTGGGGGATGCCTTTGCACTTGGTTTGTTTTTGGTGTGACAATCAGGCAGTGGTCAGAATCCTCAACTGCCAGTCCTCCAAGTCCGCTAGGGTCATGCTCCTGGTTAGCCAGTTTGTTTTGCTGTGCCTCAGCAACAACATTATATTCAAGGTCCATTTTGTGCCTGGCCTTGAGAATAACATTGCAGATTCTCTCTCTGGTTTTCAGGAGACCAGGTTCTGTCAATTGGTGCCTGGAGCAAACCCCTCACTCATTCCTTTCCCATTGGAACTGTGGGAGGTTGGAAACTTGCTGTGGTACAGGGCATCTTGTCTTGACTGGCCCCAGCCACACTGAGAGCATACAGGAAAGCTGTTTCCAAGCTTTTGCCTTTGGGGGGGGCATCGGGCCTCTGGCCACATTGGCCAGTCTAGTCACGTACTATCCTTGAATTCCTTGTATGGTTAAAAGAGTCTGGCATCACACCCACACCATGTCAGTCCACTTGGGCAGCATTTCCTTCTTTTCCAAGTCTGGGGGGAGGGGTTTCCAGGCCCCTTGTGAATCTTTCTTGGTCAGGAGGGTCTTTGAAGGCTGGAACAGAACATTCCTTAGGAGGGTGAATTCACTTTAAATTACTTCTCAGGCTCACTCTACAGCTCAAACAGGCCTGTCACCCCAGAGCTGAGGCCTGCCTTTTCAGAAATGCCTTTGTAACTGCCTTCTTTGGGGCACTGTGGGTAGGTGAGCTTGTCCCATCTTCCAGGTTGAATGGGACTAAGTGTTTGCTTCAGAGGAAGGATGTCTCTCTTTTTTTCTTTTTTCTTTTTTTTGGAGGGGGGGGAAGCTGTCTTTTTAGTTCTTCGCAGGTCAAAGTGCAATCAATTGGGGAGAGGATCCACCATAGTGTTGAGGTTCCACTGCTGTAGCTCCAGTTGCTATGCAGATACCTGGCATCCCACCCTCAGCCCAAAGGCACTCTTTTTACACCTGAGAATTTGGGTTGAATGGTGCCATGCACCCAGCCATGTGGCCAATCCACCAACCTGGGCAAGGGATGGGCAGAAGTCCTGCCTCCCCCAGCTTCCCAGCCAATTAGGGAGCCACCGCCAGGCCAAAGGGGAGATGCTTCCAGTTGCAAAGCCCTCTGGGAGGCATAGTCCCTGGCAACAGTTGGAAGTCCTGCCTGCTCAAGGCCCAGGGAGCCAATCCAGGCACATGAACAGCTCCCAGTGTTCCCTGGGAGCAAGGCGGGACCCAGACCGGGTGGAAAAGCTGCTGTGGGCTCGACGCCTCCTCCCCCCAGCAACCTGACCATCCCAGTGAGTTGGCCAGCCCCATTTTCACTCCACTCTTGTAATCCCCAGCAACTAACTGTGCAATCTTGCCAAGTGTTTTATATACATATATGGTGACACATTATTTAACCTCGGCATTTATATTGTGATATGCACCTAGTGAGGCACTCATTACATGTATGTGAAGCCAATTCTTTTTGTCCTTCATTTTATCTTAGACAGTTTAAATATCATACAGTTTGTGTAGATTATATAGATTATATGAAGAGTATTGGTATAGCACTTTGATACCACTGTAACTGCCCATCCAATGGAATCTTGGGATTTGTAGTTTGGTGTATAAAATTCTTTACAATAGAGAATTCTAGGGCATTCTCCTGAACTACAGCACTAGAGTTCACTAAAAGCAGTGTCTCACCAAACTATGCATCCCAGGATGCTACAGAATGGAGCCATGACATTTAAAGTGGTTTGAAATTGTGTAAATACCCTTCTGGGTTTTTTACAGTGACTCAGTATTACTGTTGTAATCAGTAGGGAGTAGTCAAGGGCAAAAAGACTATGAATTCATGAAGACTTGTGACTCACAAAGCCAGACTTTAAGACTTACTAGCATTGGACCAAGGACTAGTAGCATTCATAAAGAGTTTTAAACACAGACTCCAGTGTTCACTGTAAATTAAGAAGAAGGGATGAGAGCTTAGGCTTAACCTATAAAGGGACCTGAGGAATCATGTGGTGTAGTGTCCAACCTGGAGAAATAGGAAGCCCAAACAAAAAGACTAAGAAAGATCAGGCCTAATGAGCCTTTTGTAAGAAAGGGAAGACAGCAAGCCTCCAAATGAAAGAATGACTGAGCAAAGCAAGGCTAAAGTGGATCAGCCACAATGTCACCAGATTGATCCAGGGTTCACCGACCATTAAATTGCTATTCACAGTGGAGAGAAAGCAAAAAAGTGTTTGCAGGCAGAGCTTCCCTCAAGGTCTTGTGTTTGTATCTGACATAATGAAAAGGAGACAAGAATAAGAAATACATATATAAACAAGCCAACTGCTCACATGTGAAATTTAATTTTTTAAAATGCAAAGTATGAGGAGTGCACTGGTACAGTGTACAAGCATTCCTAGAATTTGAGAGAGGGACCAATGCAACCAGGCAGTGCCAGTGGAAAAACAATACCCCCCCCCTTTAATGCCATGGTAGCTGTAATGTCAGTCTGGATTTGGAAGCATGGTAGTTACACAAATGCCATCAGACCAGGACAAACAACACTGGAAATCAAGCTGAGGCACATGCTTGTTCATTCCTATCCTAATTATATCCCTTTCTCTACTCTAGTCCCAGTAATGAAATTGACTGGCTCAGAAGCATCTTCTGGGGGAATCCAAAAGAGAGATAATTCTCAAATGGTATGTCATGCTTGAAATTGAAATGTAACCCTGCATTTTCTTTTGAAAAAGTTGTATATACAGATATTTAATAATAATAGTAATAATAAAATATATTTTTATCCCGCCCCTCTGCATAACGAACTGGGGCAACTTACAACATTAAAATATACATTCCATATTCCACAATCCCACCTCCCCTTGGAATACTATTAAACAGTTGATAGTTTAAAACACACTTAAAATAATAACACAAATAAACAATAACTGCAGCAGAATCAGGGATAAGCAGATTGGGCTATTTTTTGGTGGCCTGCCAGAAGAGATCTGTCTTAACAGCCTTTTTAAAGCTGTTTAAGGTGGTAATATGATGAATCTGGGAATGGTTGCCAAAAAGGCCCTCTGGGCGGTAGCAAACAGTCTAGTTTTTATAGGCAGCAGCAGCAGATTCCTCCCAGAGGACCTAAGTGCACAGGGTGGATTATACTGGAGGAGGCAGTCCTGAAGATAGGTTGGACCCAAGCCATTTAGGGCTTTAAAGGTGATAACCAACACCTTGTACTGGGCCTGGAAACTAATGGGCAGCCAGTGAAGTGATCTTAAGATCAGTGTTATGTGGTCTCTTCTTGTTGTTCCTGAGACCAGCATGGCTGCCATATTCTGTACTAGTTGAAGTTTCTGGACCATGTACAAGAGTAGCCCCATGTAGACTGCATTACAGAAATCGAGATGAGAGATTACCAGTACGTGCACCACAGTTTCAAGGCCCCTAACTTCCAGGAAAGGGTGCAGCTGGCGTATCAGCTGAAGCCGATAACAGGCACTCCTGACCATCGCATTTACTGATTTATCATCTGAAGCGACAGGTCCAGGAGCACCCTGAGGCTGCGAACACAGTCCTTAGAGGAGAGTTTGACTCCATCCAGGACTGAAGGTTGTATCTCAATACCCGGTTTTGGGGTCGCTACTGTAAGTACCTCCATTTTGTCTAGATTCAGTCTCAATCTGTTTTTCCTCATCCAGTCAATTACTGCTTTAAAACAAACATTGAGAGGAGAGACGCCACCTGAAGTCAAAGCTGAAGCTTCCATGTTTCATATTGATGTACTATTCACACTGCTTGGATTTAGGTTCACTTTTTCTCAGTTATTTGTACAGAAATACACATATCCAATTTGCACAGTTGCTTGAGAAGAAATACTGGAATTAAGATGCAATATCAATAGCTAATGCCGTTCAGACCCTTACATTATACAGAATGAAAGAATTGTATACCTTAAGTGATGCCATTTTTTTTTTAAAAAAAAAAAAGTAAAATACTTTACTAGTATCCTAAAATGTAGCAAGTGAGCTGATCTGGCAAATACCAATTCTGCTGGTGGCTCTGAAGTCAGCGTGGTGGGTTGTGATTTGAATCCACTCCAAGATGCAATATAAGCTTTAAATGTGCTACCCAAGGCTCTGACCCTATTCTCAAAATAGGTGCAGCAACTTAGATGGTTCAGATTAAAATTCAGATTAACTCCAGAATGGATTCACCATCACCACTACTCTGACATGGGGATCACCAGTTCCCACCAGACAAGTTTCTATCAGGAAGGGATTTGATTGAGAAAGTGCAAATCTGGAAGAGACCCTGCCTATTAAAATCATTAATTAACTTAAAAGATAGAAGAGCTGCTCAGAGGATGCCCCTGCAGTTGACCAAAATATACTTGCTTCTTCCCCTCTTCCAATTGTTTCACTGTAAAACAAACCTGTGTGGCAAGTTAAATTGAGGAAGCATGGATGTGGCACAAGATCATCATAAGCTTCATAACTGAGTGGAGATGTGTCCAGTGTCACCTGGTGGTTCTCACATCAGTGGAGTAGTGAATTCACTCTGAGCTTTAGTAAAAACTTTACAGGCTGGGCTATCCTTTAAAAGTGAGCCAGTGTGGTATAGTGGCTTCAGCGCTGGACTAGAACTCCAGTGAGCAAGGTTTGATTCCCTGATCTGTCATGGAAACCCATTGTGTGACTGAGTCGGTCACACAATTTCAGCCCCAGAAATTCCTGTGGTAGGTTCACCTTAGTGTCATCATATCCCAGAAACAACCTGAAGGCACACAACAACACAACAATCTTTTAAAGGTGCTGAACCTTTTCCCCAAACTAGTTTTAGAACCTTGGACAGCTCCTTTAAGGTTCAAGTGAAAATCCTGTGTGCTTCACTGCCCAGCCAAACTGGAAGCCACCAGCCACCACTGGATTTTCCCCTGATTTTCCTGAGTCCTGCTTCAACTATGCAACCCTCTGGCTTGCTGGTGAAGAACTGCAACCAGATATAAATCTTTAATGGCCTGAAAGAAGATCCAAAAATGTCTGTCCCCTTTTCACTTACAATACTAAATGTACAGAAGCTGGCTAGACTAGCCTTTGCATCTGACTCCACCACTAGTCATGGAATGTTACCCTTCATCACATTTGAAAAGTATCAGACTAGCTTAAACCATTCAGGTTGGGCTACATGGTTCACACAGTTCTGTTCTCTGCTAGAGGGAAATCAGGTGGAAGCTCTGGAAAAACAGTCAGGATGCTTGCCAGAGCTGCCCCACCCAGCAGCCTCCAGTATCTGCCACCTGAAGCACTTGCACTTGCATCACTGTTTTTCATAGCAAATGAGGTTGCATCCACACTACAGAAATAATCAAACTTGACACTCCTTTAACTGCCATGTCCCATGGAATTGTAGATTGTTGTTGCACCAGAGCTCTCTGACAGACAAGGCTGAATATTTCACATAAAAGTCCCGTAACACTGAGCCATGGCAGTTAAAGCAGTAATAAACTGGATTATTTCTGCAATACAGATGCAGCCTGAGAGAGAAAGAAGGAAACAGAAGAAACCCCTTGGAAGTTTAGCTAGAAATGCTAATGAACAAGTGCACAATTCCAAGATAATATTTCCCCTCCCCAAAAGCAAAAATCCATTCTAAAGGCATATGAAAGGTTCATTCCCATAACCATTACTGATATTATTAAAGCACTCTTTACCTTACAGCCCAAGCCTGCATTTTTGAAAGCCTCTCTGTCTTGTGGTGATGTAAGCAAAAGACACTGTCTGTTTGTGGCAGGTTACAATATTTAGACACCTCAGCACCTCTGACTTGGTGGACTTATTTTTGATAAGTGGCACTTAAAAGTGTTAGTCTGAAGCATAAGTAGCTAATGCAAATATGTTACCGACCCCTAACAGAGTCAGCAATTATGCAAATATCCCAAGCCTTCATCTTTTATAATTAGATGTAGCTAGCTTATGGAGAACTCTAATTTTCAAGCTCACTCCTCATTGAAATGTTCCACCAAAACAAGAGACAGAATTAGAGAGGTGGGGGAGGGAGAGAGATTGGAATGGGTTTCAAATCAGATAAAAGATGTATTCTCTAAAGGGGCTTAAGGAATGGTCTGTATTTAAAAAGAATAAAGCTGGAAGGCTTTTAGCAATTATTTTCTTGTTTGTCATGCATGAGAGATATGCGAGAAGCGTGGAGACACTGAGAACAAGATTGTAATGTGTCCCAGTGAATTCATCTCTAGTGTATGACATGCTGATTAATATCCCCTACCTACCCACCTATTCTCCAACAAAATCCCAAAGATGTGTTTTGTTAACTTGGTAAAGGAAAGAGGCCATAAAAACCATCCTGTACCTCTAGAAATAGAGTGGGCCCTTGGTATCTGTTGTGATTTGGTTCCAGGCCCACTGTGGATACCAAAATCCGTGGAAGCTCAAATCAAGGTTTGTTTGTTTTTTGGAATTTATATATTTTAAAAACATTTTCAAGCCATGGATGCTTGAATCTGTGGATAAAAAAATCCGTGGATATGGAGAGCTGACTATGGGCCTTTACAGACTGCCAGAAATAATGCAGCTTTAACTGCCCTGGCTCAGTGCTAAGGAATCATGGGAATTGTAGTTTTTTCCTGAGACACTGAGCCTTCTCTGTCAGAGAGCTCTGGTGCCACAATATACTACAGTTCCCATGATTCCTTAGCACTGAGCCATGACAGTTAAAGTGGCCTCAAGCTGCATTAGTTCTGGCAGTCTGTAAAGGCCCTATATGTCTTTTCTAAAGATACTCACCACCATTTCAATATATTGGCTGATTCGGTTAGCTGTGGGTAGGCCACAAATGTTGCATATAAAAGCTTCAGATGCCCCCAGTGAAAGAGATAACAGCAACATCTGTTGTATGGCTTTTCAAAATAAGAAAGGTTCCTGCTTTTTTGCCTTTATGTCACACAAAAACAAAGAGAGCATGTCTATATTATCAGTGTTTGTATTGCACAGAGAGAAACACCAATGAGGTAGTCTGAATTAAGGATTTCTGCTAATCTTCTCTGACCAATCATAATATATCCCCACCCACTATGGTAGCTGATCAATAATGCTGTGAATCCACTTCGGGGACAGCATTTCCCTCTATGAGCCTACCGAACCCTGAAATCCACAGGGCAGGCCCTTCTTTCACTTCTACAACCTTCACAGCTATGGTTAGTGGGAACATGAGAGACAGCCTTCTCAGTGGTTGCCCCTAGACTTTGGAACTCCTTCCATAGGAAGACTAGAATGGCACCCTCTTTACTGCCCTTCCATCGGCAAGTGAAGATGTTTTATTCAGAAAAGGTTTTAGAAATGAACACTTTTGAAGAAAGGGCTTACAAGATGCTGCTACATGGTTTTAAACTGAACTATCTGAACAGTTTTTTAAAAAAAATATTTTCAAATTTATGTTGTAAAGTGGTTTAATATTGTTAATAGTTTGATTTTATTGTAATGTTGACCTTTCCTATGTTTTTAATTACACTGTAATCATTTTAATTTGTAAGCCACCTTGAGTCTCAATATTAATCCTACTACTACTAATAATAAAATTATACAGATAGTAAAGGAGCGATCCAAGGTGCTAAGGGTTTAGTGTCAGGAATAGCTGCTTTAAAGCTTTAAAGCTCAAACTAAAATCTAGACAGGATTCACCCTCTCACACCATGAAAAGCATTACTGTTTTCACTGCCTTTGGATAGAAACATATTTAAAATCTTAATAAAAGAGATTCCACCTAAACATTAGCAAGACCTTCCTGATGGTAAGAGCTTTACTGACAGTGAAACACATTCCCTCAGAGTGTAGTGGAGTCTCCTTCTTTGGAGGTTTTTAAACAGAGGTTGGATGGCCATCTGTTGGGAGTGGTTTGGTTATGTTTTCCTCTATGGAGTTTATCACACAGGGAGCCCCAGGCAGAAACAGGCTTTAAAGTAAAAAAAAAGCGGAAGCTTTCAATGAATGGGATTTCTCCTGTTCTGCCCTGTGTGAAAAGTGAAAGTGCTGTTAAAAGGAGGTTAATCTGAATGGAAATTAGACAAACACTGCTTCTTTTTACTTTTGGGATCTTCCGAAAATAAAAAGAAGCAGTTTTTGTCTAATTTCCATTCAGAATAATTTCCTTTTAATAGCGACGTCATCTGAAAAGACACCCGCTTTTGAGGGTTTTGTTTAATTTAAAGCCCCATTTCCACACAGTATTTCCCCCATGTGATAAACTCCTATGGCAGGGAGTTGGACTAGGTAGCCCCTCTGTCTCTTCCAACTCTATGAATCTATGACATAATCTAGATCAAAACATTACACCATGGCTCTGTAGCATAACACAAAATAGGTCAGATAAGCAATTTATCCTCCATCCTCTGGAATCCCCTTACCCTCTTGAAAATAAGTTCTACAAGACGGAGAGGCCCTATCAACAGTGCAGGAGATACCGCTGAGGACATGCCGAAGGGAGCTGATTCAGCCTTACTGCACTTCCTTCTGTTAATGGCAACAGCAACTCTGGATTTAATTGTGTAGTTCCAGAATGTCAGAACTGTAGGTTGGAAATGTTATTTTTCTTTACTACAGCTCCCACTCATTGGGTGACCTCTCCCTCTCCCCCTCTTTCTTTTAGCTTTGCCTACCTCCGATGCAAAGGCAGTTAACAATAAAAACCTCCCAGGGTTGTTGTGAGGATAAAATGGGGAGTAAGAGAGCTCACTGAAAGAAAGGTGGGGTAGAAAATAACTAATGCATGAACAGATGCAATGTAGATAGGGGTAAATATTAGGTAAAATTCCATACAGTGAAACAACTGATACATAGTCTTAGGACCTTATCCCACGGGGCCAAAAGCAGCAAGAATCCACTAAGAATCAGGCGCTATAGCGCTATAGTTTTCCGTGTGATTACACGACATCGCTCAGAATCCAGCAAGAAACCACTCAGAATGCAACATCAATCGCATTCTTTTGAATGTCAGTTTCAGCGGGCATTGCAATAGCGTGAGCTTATCCATAGCGCTATTATAGCGCTAGCGCCATATTTATACTAGCGCTATAGTACTGCAATGATGCTCATATCGCTTTCTTGCCACTTTTGAGAGCAGCGTGGGATAAGGTCCTTAATCACTTGTCCTCTTGGACTATGGCTGGCATCCTGCTGGTTAGCTCCAACTAGAGTAGACCCATGCAATCATTTGTTGAATGGTGAGTCAACACAAAGGATAATCTAATTGATTTAGGGCCTTTGCAGACTGCCAGAAATAGTGCACGTTAAATTGAGGTACTGCCCTGGCTCAGTGCTAGGGAATCATGGGAACTACAATTCATTGTGGCACCAGAGCTCTCTGACAGAGAAGGCTCAATGTCTCAGAAAAAAATACAGTTCCCATGACTCCCTAGCACTGAGCCAGGGCAGTGCTTCAATTTAATGTGCACTATTTCTGGCAGTCTGCAAAGGCCTTTAGTGGCTTTACTCTAATCTGGATTAACAATAGGATTTTGGGCCTACATTTTCTCCAGTAATTTCATCATTTCCAGTGAGAAGAAATTTTGTAAACTGCCACTATATCAATACTGCACATGTGTATCTGATTTCTTGGAATTACAGAGAAACATTTGTGGGCCATTTAGTGGAATTTCTTGGGTTATG